AGAGAATGCTCGGGACAAGGGAAAGCGGAGATGGATGGGAGGCTTAGCCGCCCCGATACGTAAACGCAACCCGTAGCGCATTGACACAGAACTCAGCACGCAGATTGAACACGTGCGCCGGGCGCGCCACGTTCGCCGAAACGCGGGCCAACACGCGGAACCAACACGCAACGTGTTAACGCGGACGTGTTGAACACGGTACGTGTTGCGTTTCAAAACGGGCGTATCGGGGCAGCTAAGGTCGGGCGTTGGCAGAACTGGGCTTAGTGGAACCGGGTTCAGTGATTTGTACCGGGGGCGCCCCCCCGTCCCGTTTCCACTAACCGGAACTGCCCTTACCCGAAAAACACCAGTTACGGCAAACCCGGTTTAGTGAATCTGGCCGCTTGAGGGGCCCCAGGGCCCTATCACTAACCGGGTCCCCTTTCCCGGGGTCCTGGCTATACCCGACAAGGTGGGAGGCGGGGATGGGCGACTCGGAGGAGAAGCAAGGACGAGTGGGGGGGGGGGGGGGGGGGGGGGGGGACCCCTGGGCGGCGGCAAGCCAGAGCCACGTCCTGTGCTGTGCTGCGCTCCGGCGTGCCGCCGCCCAAGGGTCCCCCACCAGACCCACCCCCCTGATGTTCTCTGGGGAAACCAAAAGGTACGTACCTTTTGGTTTCCCCAGGATCAATGCAAAAAGAGCGATGCCTCCGAATGTCTTAACATGTCTTTAGATGTCTTTGCAATTGGCTTGTAATTCAAGAAACCTAGCGCAACTCAGTAAAACTCAAGATAATTCAAGATAATTCTTCATGTGAAGACAGCTCAAGATGATGAAAAATCCAGGGCGGAAGGTCCGGACGAAGGAGAACGAGGGACCGACACAGCTACTCCCAGGACCTCGCCCGGGCGCGTTCTGACCAGAATCTCGAAGCGAATCCGGCTGTGGCAACGAGGGCCTCCCAGCAGGCCCCAAGAAGCGAAACCGAGGGAGGGGTTAGCAGTATAGGGCACCTTTTCCTCCGGCCCCCCCCGATGTGTTCTCGGTGGCGGTGGCAACGATCGCGTCGGGCGAAAGGGGGGGATAGCAAAAGGGGGGTTGGAGAATCAGCTCGCGTAGCTGATCTTACCGGCGCCTCCCGGCGCCGGAGGCGGCTATGTATCGAGGAAAAGGGCCCCTCGGCGGGGCCGAAACCAGCTGCATGCAGCAAATTGGAGGCCTGGAAATTGGCATCAACACCAGCACAGGGGGTTGCCTCCACATGGGGAAGATGATCCTAGATTTCGGCGTTGGTGGTAATATTTTGGTGACCTTGGAAGCCAGAATATTACCACCATCACCGAGATCGGGCTCGTCTTCCCTCGGTGGAGGCACACCGCCGATCTTGGTGTTGGTGTCAACCTCTAGGCCTGCGAGCAAATTTCGTAACCCCCCCTTTCCCCATCCCCCCCTTTCGCCCGGCCCGCAAGGAGCCGCGGGGCGGAGCAGAGGAGCAGAGGAGCAGGCCCCTCTTTTCCATAAGTTAAACTTCGATTCCCCATACAAAAACCTAAGGGAAGCCCGAGGCAAACCGCAAAACAATCACGGAACACCGAGCCCCTCCCCAACGAAAAGCGTTCCTTCTTCAGGGCCCCGACTGTAGATGACTACCTACCAGACCACCCCAACCCAACCCGAAGACCCGAATTTCGGGTGGAGGGGGGGGGGGTAAGGGTTCCACATGTGTTTTTTCGATGTTTCCCGACCCCCCCCCCACTGGAAATCGAGGGTAAATCTGAGCCTTCGGGTTGGGTTGGGGTGGCTTGGTGGGTGGTGAGCAGCCCTTGCCGGGCCGCCGCCGCCGCCGCGCCGCCCGCCGCCGCCGCCGCCGCCCCCGTTGCCAAATCGCCGCCGCCGCAGCCGCTGCCGCCGCAGCCGCTGCCGCCACCGCCGCCGCCGCCGCCGCTACCGCCGCCGCCGCCGCCCGCCGCCGCCGCAGCCGCCGCCGCCACCGCCGCCGCCGCCGCCGCAGCCGCCGCAGCCGCCGCAGCCGCCGCCGCAGCCGCCGCAGCCGCCGCCGCCGCCAAGTGTACTCTGCATTGTTTTTTGACAGGGATGTTGGGGAGAGGCCGACTCTGCGTCGACTGCAGCCCTTGCCGGGCCGCCCAGGGCGGCGTGCGCTCCGCGCGCGGGCGGGGAGGCGGGCCCAGCGTCGGTCCGCGGACAGCCGCGCGGGCCTCCACGCGTCGGGGGTGTGCTTTGCAGCCTGCCGCTCCCACGGAAATCGCGACGCAGAGAATGACTACCTACCAGACCACCCCAACCCAACCCGAAGACCCGAGTTTCGGGTTTGGGGGGGTAAGGGTTCCACATGTGTTTTTTCGATGTTTCCCGACCCCCCCCCCACTGGAAATCGAGGGTAAATCTGAGCCTTCGGGTTGGGTTGGGGTGGTTTGGTGGGTGGTGAGAGAACACTGCGCAGAACACGTCGCGCAGAAAGCACGGCGCTGTTTTATTCCATTGACGCTCGAGTTCTCGATGCCGCTGTCCAGAGAACCCTCGGTGGCTCCTGGAAGGAGGGGGGCGGACCTCCACGCGTCGGATGTGTGTTTTGCAGCCTGCTGCTCCCAAGGAAACGCGACGCAGAAAGCACTGCGCAGAAAACGTCACGCAGAAAGCACGGCGCTGTTTTATTTCATTGCTTCATGTACGACTCGTGTACGTCGCAAGGCCAAAGATTCGGACAGAGAAAAGCGGGTACGGGCCTCGCCACACTTACGGCGCTGCTTACTGTAGGCGCCGGCTGGGGCAGCAAACCCAGCCCCCCCTGAACAGACCTGCGTTGTTTTATTTCATTGACACTCAGGTTCTCGATTCCGCTATTCAGAGAACCCTTGGTGGCTCCTGGAAGGAGGGGGGCGGAGAAGATGGGGGAAAGGGATGCAAGGTGTGGGAGCAGCAAGCCAGGCGGAGAGACAGGGGCAGAAAGGTAGTGAAACTCCCTACTTCGATTCGACATACACGTACGTACTGCTCTCGGTGAGAGAGTTACCCTGCCTGGTGGACAGTGTCAAGGCACGTCCAGGTGACCTCTGCTGGACCCCCGCGCAGACGTTGATGAGATATGCTAGTTCATGCTGTCCCGTGCCTGTCCATGCAATGCCACGCTGTGTTGGCACACGCTATGCTACGCCATGCAATGCTAGACAATGTTGTCATCGTCCATGTCATGTAGTACTGCGCTACGGAATGCTATGATATGCCGCTGCATGCCATGGGACGCTATGCCGTGCAATGACACGGAACCGTGCGCATGCTGCTACGCCGTGATGGAATGATGCTGGCGGATACCTGATATGCACAGCAATGCTGCACCATGCTTTACACTGCGTGATCACCGAACCTCGTTGCACTGCATTGCGCTGGTATGCCTTCAACACACAGAATACCCCTACTAGGGGTCGAGTCGAATTCATTTTGCACAGGGCAGGGATGTGGCCGGCGCCGACGAGTGATCCCCCTTCGGAACGGCGGAATGCATTTCGACTTGGGGAGCTGGCAGGGTGCGCCTCGCGCTTGCGGGTACGAGCGAGGGAGCGCATTTCTCTTGCTGGGGCTGCTGGGCTCGAGCTCCAATGCGAAGAAGCACGCCGCTTGCGCAGTTTGTTCGTAACAGGCCGCCCGCTCCAAGCGCCGATCTCTTTGCAAGACGATGTATTGTGGGTGGGTCGCGAAGTGGGTCGTCGGGGGGTCGCGAGTTTCAGATGACAGCGGAAGGAAGCCCGCGTTTGAAGACGAGCTCACCGCTGGCGGCATTTTTTTTCAAACTGGCGCGGGTGGGCAGCGAACGGACCGCTGGTGGGGCACGGGCGTGAGTGGCGGGGTGGGTCAGGGGTAGAGGGAATCGGGGAGCAGGGGTGCGCGGGGGTGGTGTGCCGAGGGCAAGGCGGGAGGGGATTGTTGAAGGGGCCGTGGGACACGCAAATCAAGAGAAGCGAATCTCAGGAGTCCCCACATTTTCTAATATTTTCTCGGTTCTCGTCTTCGCCCCCACTTCCCCTATTTTCCCATACTTCCTGGGGGTCTGTGTGCTTTTTCCCCTCCTGAATTGCTGGCGGGGCAATGGGGCATAACGTGTGGGAGGGGGGAGGGAGGGGAGGAGCAGGGGGAGCGCAGCGTGAAGCCTCGGAGGCCTTCTTCTCGTCGTCCTCGCCCTTCTTGCCGTCCTCGCCGCGGGCACAAAGGAAGCCCCTGGCCCAGATGGCAGGCCAGCACGAGAGGGGGGGCGGAGGACAGACCGAGCCTTCCGGCCTGCAGCCTGCAAGCGGGCCTAACTCTCTCAGAGCCAAGCTGTGCAGTGCAGTCGCGTAAACGAGGAGGAGGAGGAGGAGGAGGAGGAGATGGAGGAGGAGGAGGAGGAGGAGCAGGAGGAGGAGAGGGAGGAGGAGGAGAAGAGGAGGGATGCGGTTCGCAGGGTGGGGGGGGGAGCTGGCGAGATGGGGGCTGGCGGATGGGGAGCGGAAGGCAGGGAAGGGGAAGTGAATCATTGGGGGAAGGGGAGCGGGAGGCGGAAGGGGGATAGGGAATGTGAGATCGTCCTCCACCTCCACGTCGTCGCCCCAGCCGTAGCCACTGCTGGGCTCCAGTCAGCCCACGGGTGCCCAAAGCGCCACAGCGAGGTCGAGGGCCCGATCAGCCAGACGTAGCTCTTCATGGGCGCTCGTGGCAGCGCGTGCGGAACAGGTTGGCTCCTCCTCCTCCTCCCGAAAGGGCGCAGCCTGGGCCAAGGCGCTCCGAGGTCAGAGTGCGCCCAGGCAGAATGAACCGGAGGAGAAGCAGGACGCATACCTCATGAGGAGAAGGGGGAAAAGACGGAGGTGGAGGGGAAGTGAGGGGGAAGGGGTGGATGGACAGTGGGAGGCGGAGCAGGAGGGGGTGGAGGTCAAGAAGGAGGAACAGCGAGAGGAGCCAGAGGAGGGGCATCAGGAAGAGGAGGAAGAGGAGGAGCAAGAGACAAGATGCGCAGCACGGCATTAAGGCCAGACAATCGACGTCGTGGAAAGGTCACGGACACACTTACCGACCCCATCCGTATGCATGATTTGCAGACCTGTTTAGAGTCGTGGAGGTCCCTGGGCCCGAATCGGCTCCACCACGCCCGCGGCGCCATTCCACGAAGCCCGTCGGAAGGGTGCACGAATTTCCCCAGACCTGCTGATGCCGCATGCATCCAGCGGCGTCGCCGGCACCGGCAGAAGCAGTGTTCCGCCCGCAGCTGCAAAGCCGTCCGCTTGCCGTGGAACTCACGTGCAAGCCGTGCCGCTCACGAATTTGAATCAAAATAGGGCGTTGCCCCGTCGCCCGTCGCTCTCTAATTCCCCCTCCCTCACTTGTGTGCCGCCGCCTCCACTGTCATATGGTACACGTCCGGAAGGGCGGCGCGCCGCCCTACCAGACCCTGGCGCCACCCAACCCGGGGGGGCCCTCAGCAGCAGGCGCCCCTCTTCGTCTTGGGCTTCTTCGTCGGGGGCCTCTTGGACGGGGGCCTCTTGGCGCCAGACGCCGGTGGCGCCGCCGTGCCCGCGGCCGGGCTCTCCGCGGCCGGGCCCGCCGCGCCCGTGCTGGGGGCCGTGTCCTGGGGGCCCGGCCCGGTGCCCTGGGCGTCGAACGCGAAGCCCGCGCCGAAGGGGGCGTGCATCTGCGGCGCCGCCCCGCCGTACATGGGGTAGGCGACCATGGAGGGCGCGCTCTGCAGCGCCCCGTACATGGGGGCCGCCACCATGGAGGCCGCGGTCGGCAGGTAGCCCTGGGCGTCGGCCGGGGGCGCGTAGGGCTGCTGGTAGGCCGCGTAGCCGGCGTCGGCGTACACCTGCGGCGCGGGCGTGTAGCTGTACTGGGTGGGCGCGGTCGCGTGAGCGGCGTAGGCGACCGCCGGCTGCAGGTATGTCGGCGCGGGCGCCGCGTGCGTCACCGCCTCCTGCTGCACGTAGTGGGTCGGCGCAGGCGCCGCGTACGTCACCGCCTCCTGCTGCCCGTAGATCGACGCGGGTGCCGCGTACGTCACCGGGGGCGGATGATGGTACATCATGGTCGAGGGTGCTGCGTACGCCGAGGGGATTGCGGCGTACGCCGCGGGCGCTGCTGCATACACCGCCGGCTGAGTCGCGTAGGACATGACGGGGGGGGCGGCGTACACTGTGGCAGACATGGGCCCAGGAGGTGTGGCACGACCCAGCTCTGTGAGAAAACTCCTTCAGATCCTTGGGGCCGCCACCTTTGAGCCAGGATGGCAACGGGCCCCGAGCACCTCAATGCCGCCGTGCTCCAACCGAAGCACACCATCTGCCGCACTGCCCCTGCTCCTCATGTTCCAGCTCCAGCTCCAGCTTCTTCTACATCTGGTGCTGCAGGTTGTCCTTCTGGTTGTCCTGCTTGACTTCGTGCTTCTCGCCCTATTTCTCCCCATTCTGGCCCGTCCTGCCCTCCTCCCCCACGCTCTCCTCTGCATCCTCATCCTCCTCCCTGTGCTCATGCTGCTGCTGCTGCTGCTGCTGCTGCTGCTGCTGCTGCTGCTGCTGCTGCTGCTGCTGCTGCTGCTGCTGCTGCTGCTCCGCTCACTCCCAAACCCCGCCTGTTCCGCCCACCCCTCCTGTCTGGTGCGGGGGGATGGGCGGGGGCTGGATCCCCCGGCGCCCCTCTGCAAGCGTGGTTTTGGCCAAGCACCAGCGGCGCGCCAAGGGGGGAAACGGGAGGGGGCCAGCCTGCTCAGAAAGCGGCGTGGCTTCTCGCTTTTCGGAAGCCCTCCGGCCTTCGGAGAAGCTGGCTCTCTGCTGCTTCGGAGCAGTCCGAGAAGGCTTCCCAGAAAGCTGGAAGCCTTCTGCCGAGCCTTCTGAGCTCGCCCGCCCCCTCCCCCTTCCCCCCAGGGCAGGCCACCGAACGCATACCTGTTCTTTACCCCTCATTGCCTCAGCATCGTCGCCTAACGACAGAATCAATCAGCCCCTTCCTCCCCAGCCTCTAGCCTTTGCTTCTGCGTCGAGCCGAAGTGCCTCGGACGAGTCTTCCGAGATGGCAGGGGGGTCTTCTTCGGTAGGGCTGCCCCGGTCAGCACTTGCACGCGCCGCGCCATCAAAAATCGACGGGGGGAGGGGCCATGTTGCAATAAGTGATGTAAGATTCCCCAAGAAGTGTTTGCACTTAGGGCCTCTCACGTCTTCTCTGAATAACATTTGCTGCGCCTGGCTGGCGGTCCGGCCGACGTGTCGCCGCCCGCCGCCGCCCGCTCGGGCCTGGCTGGTGGTCCGGCCGGCTGGCGTTTTCATGGTGCTCGCCTCAAAGAACCTCCTTTCGGAATACGAATTCGGACCATCTGCCTGTCCCCCCTCTGGGGTTATCCATCCCCTCTGGGGATGCGCACTCTACAAATGGTTCTGCCCCATCGCTGGGTCCCCACACGGAATCAAGACATACTAGCCGAACCGGGTTCGACCCCCTCCCACCTCATCCCAAACGAATAATGCTAAGCGCGCGCGTCGTTCATCAAATGAATTATTGCCAACACTTTGTTGTTAACGTATCTATACATCTGTATCTATATATATATATATATATATATATATATATATATATCCACACGCGCGCGGCGCCTCACGTGCAACGTGCATGCCAAAATCCCTCAAAACCGTAGGCAACGTGAGGATTTGAAGATCCAGGTTGCCGAAACCATTGGGGAAAACGCATGGTTTGCCACGTGGTTTTGCAACATGAACTATCAAAACATGTCTGCGCGCTCTTGCGAATTCTGAAGCAAACGTGGAGTTATCCAGCATGATCACCAAACGCGACCAAACGGGCCCCTCGCGCGCCCACGACGAAATTATCCGAACGCCGTTGCGCGTTTGCTGGGGGGTGGGCACAAAACCCGTCAAATCATATCACGCGAGCCACTCGCGCGCATCGGCCGCGCGCGCATCGATGATGATGACGATGCTGATGCTGATGATGATGATGATGATGATGATGATGATGATGATGCTGATGCTGATGCTGATGCTGATGATGATGATGATGATGATGATGATGATGATGATGATGATGATGATGATGATGATGGCGGTCATGACGACGGCGCGTCCCGTCGAAGATAAGAGGGAGGAATGCGAGGTGGGAGGAAGGATAAATCAAGAGAAGGAGGAGGAGGACGACGACAAGCGCTCTTGGGAGGGCGGGGTTCGATAGCTCGATTTCAATTGAACTGCAGCCCTGAGGATGTGATCAGGCTGCGATATGAAGATGTCCAGAGTCCATCTCCGATATCGAGATATCGAGATATCGAGTCTGACCCCGCCGCCGCCCCCCAGTTCCATGACCCTCACCACCATCACCACCATCATCGCCACCATCAATAGCATCATCATCGTCAACGTCGTCATCGTCGTCCTCACAATCTTGACTTTCACGTACCCCTCCGACCCAGTACTAATAATAATAATACGAATAATACTACTGATACTAATACTAATAAACGCCCGTGACCCCCTCTCGCCCACACTCAGAAACAGGGGAGAATTCCTTGTGCACGCCCTGCGCCGCGGACGGGCCCCGCTCGAGCGAGCCCGTGTGGGCACGCAGGTCGTGCATAAGAAAATTCGGGTCCTGGGATGGGGGGAGGCGAGGCGCCGTGCATCGAGCCCCGCCCCGCACGCCACCCCCTCCATATCGAGATACCGAGTCCCCGCCCGCGAGATTGGGACATCGAGATATCGAGATACGGAGTCCCCGCCTGGCCCCGCGCCCGATATCCAGATATCCAAATATCGAGCTATCGCGCCCCCGCCCCCGATATCGTGATATCGAGGTATCGAGTCCCCGCCCTCCGATATCGAGATATCGGGAGATCGAGATACCGAGATATCGAGATATCGAATCCTCGCCCCCGATATCAAGATATCGAAATATCGAGGTATAGAATTCCCGCCCGGCCCCAGCCCCGATATCGAGATATCGAGATATCGAGACATCGAGATATCGAGATATCAAGTCCTCCCGACCCCCACCGGGACGCCTTGCGACCACCATGCACTTTTCTATCAAGGCATTCCTTGTGAACTATAGTGTTGGGCGTTGGGCAGGGCTTCTGGCACTTCAGTATGCGGTCTTGACCATGTAGCTTGAACATCCTGCCCTTTGCTGTGGTATGCCAGTCATACGGTGCTCCTGTGCTATCAGTCTTGGTACTGCTCAACGCTGCACTCAAGGTCTGCTCCGCGTCTCCTGTTGAAAAGGCGCTGACTTGCTCACCCCCCGATGGCTGTCAACACGGTCGGCGCAGTTGTTGTGCAGTGCCACAACTATGCTTCGCAAGAGGCGCTTCGTGAGGAACACCTCGTCGTCCTGCTCGGCTTCCCCATCGCCTCGGTTCTGGAGTTATGAGAGGAGGGGTCGGCGTTGAGTTTACCCGACTTCGTCAATGATCCCGTTTCCATTCTTCAGCGGATCCTCCTTACAGAAACCCCACAGGCACCCCGTGGCAGCGACCGTGGGAGGAGGCCGCCAGTACGGAGGAGGAGGAGGAGGAGGAGGAGGAGGAGGAGAAGGAGGGAGGAAGAGGAGGAGGAGGAGGAGGAGGAGGAGGAGGAGGAGGAGGAGGAGGACGAGGAGGGGAAGAAGCAGGGAGGAGCCTCTTCTCAGGCGTCCTGCACTCTGGAAAGCATGCAGATCTAGGTCCCCTGCGCCGGCGCGCGGGGAGGAGGGAGGTCGGCCGCTCTGCAAAAGGGACCCTCGCCGCAAGGAAGGGTCAGAGCGGGAAAAACCTCGCCGAACTTCACCGCGCGCCCGCCGCGAAGGCGCGCCCGATTGGCGCGGGCGCATGCCGGCTGCCGTGGCGCTGCGTTCCAAAGGCCGAGGCTGCGGCGTGAGGGTGAGGATGGGGAAGGAGGGCGGGAAAAAGGACACGGGCAGAGGGAACCTGATGCGGGAAGAAGGAGGAGTGACGAAGCGAAGAGGAGGTGGGAATAAGAGTGCCCAGGAGGGAAGATCGGAGGCGAGGAGGGAGGAGCGAGAAGGAACGAGCACGGAAGATGGATGAACAGGCGGACGGAAGAGGAAGAGCGAGGAGGGCGGACAAGGGATGAGATACAAGGGCGGAGAAGCAGGAGGGACGAGGAGGAAGATACGCATGAGGAAGAGGCTCGAACAGGGTGAGCAGGGTAGGAAAAGGGGGGAGTAGAAGGAACGAGGTGGAAAAGGGAGAGGGCGGTAGCGAGGAGGAGAGGACTCAGAATCGGGACGGAGAATGGACGCAGATGATAATGACCTTGAGGATGATAACGAGGCGCAGCACTATGAGGATAGCGACGATTGGGACGAGGGGGCGGAGCGCAGACGCAACCACTATATACGATAAACACGCTTTGAAACGTGGTTCAAGCGAACCTGGCGTGCACTGTGAATTGCCAATTTGCGTGCTCGCCAAAGAGAAGAAACAGGAGCAGCGGACGGTAAAGAGAGAGAGAGAGAAAGGGAGAGAAATAAAGAGAGGGAGAGGTGAGAGAGACAGACAGGGAGAGAGTTATGTACAGAGAAACAGAAAGAGAGAAAGAGAGAGAGAGAAAGAGAGCAACAGAAAGTGGGTAGACATATCTATATATAGATACAGAAAGAGAGAGAGAGAGAGATGAAAAAAGAAAGAAAGACAGAAAGAGAGGGAGAGAAAGAGAGATAGCGAGACAGAGAGGGAGAGACAGAGAGAGAGAGAGATATAAAGATAAAGAGAGAGAGGGAGCCAGACACAACAGATCCGCCCAATCTTCGGCGTGTGGGAAACGCTCTCGTCGTCGTCACTCCGAAAGAAATTGAGGAACAAGGAAAAGGAACGTCGTGGTTAATTCGATGTCCTTCCCTTTATGCCTTCCCAGCGGGGGGATTGGGGCGTGGAGGGGGTCACGGATCAGAATGCCGGCCGCCCTCCCCAGGATCCCGGCGGGCCCCGGGGGGTGATCACCAACGGGGGTCCCAAAGGAGGCTCCGCCTTCAGGGTCGGCGGCGCCGACCGTAAGGCATTCGCAATAAAGAAGGAAGAGCATGTACTAATCGGAGGGGAGGGTAACAGAGAGAGAAGGAAAGAAGGGGGAAGAGAAGGAATGAGACGCAAGGGGCGTGAGGATATGTATGCAAGGAGGGGGGAACAAAGAACATGGAAGGAAGGATGGGAATCACAGAATGTGAAGTTTCAGTGGGGAAACGCATGCAAGGAGGGGACGGAGGAGGGGGGGGAAAAAAACAGCGAAAGGATTGAAGGGAGAGAAGACCTATGAAAATCACTAAGTCACACCCTTGCCGGCAGAAGATCCTAGACAACTTTCGCATATACTCAAGAACAGCACGCGCCATTACCCCGATGGTTTATAAGAACGGCCCTTTCCCATGAGACGTTCTGGCCTGATCGGGCCCGGGACACGTTCGTACGTCCATCCTACACACGGAATGCCATCATCCCATGCGCCCCCCCCATGTGGCCCCAGCGCGTTCCCAGTGTAGAAAATACTTCGCAGTGCACACGGCTCGATCGATATACATATGTTGGTGCATATGTCAGTACATATGTATACATGCGAATTTACAATTGCCTGACAGATAGCGCCAATATCTGCCATACAGTTCGAACTGTTCATGTATCAGTATGTACAGACATATACACGAATCAAACATGCGGGCCACCAGCGCGAAACCGCGCGCTCAAAACAACACCATGCAGCACGTATGATTACAAGCATTTCAGCATCGAGCCCGCCGAGCACCATGGAACGCATGCTGTGAATGCGGACGCTGATCATCCCGCGAAATCACGCGCACGCGCCACTGTGAGAACGTTCCCAGATAAGGGGAAGCATGGAAAGGAGACCGGGCGGAGGGAACAAGGGCGCTCGCGCGCGGGCTCGCGGCGTGCGGCCGCCGCCCGCGGCAAACGGGACCCCCCGGCGCGCTCGGAGCTCGCGGCGCCCAAGGCGACGCCCTCGACGAGCTGGCGGCGCCGAAACGCAATATTGGCGATCGCCAGGTCCAGCTCGCACTCTCAGCGTTCGAAGGCGTCGCGCCCCCTGGGGTGGCGCGGGGCGGGCGGTGCCTGAGCTGGGCGGGGGGGGGCGACTCCGGCGCGCGCGGAGGGTCGGGCCGCGCCGCGCGTAGGCGGAAATCCGAGCCCGGTCACCAAGTCGCGCTCGAAGTGGCTCTGCGAAGAATTCTGGGCGAACACGAAATACACGACGGCCACGGCGAACTGTAACGCTTGAAAACGGGTCGCAACGCTCGGGAAAAGCGGCCCGCGAGGCTGCGGCGCGCAAGCCCAGAGGCGGAAAGGCTGCAAGGACGCGCCACGATGGCGGCGACCTCGTCGGCGCTGGCGCTGCTGTCCTCTGCCGGCGGGCACTGGTAGCAACTCCGAAAAAAGGCGCCCGGCAATGGGGATCGCGGGGCGGGCCCCGTGCATCACGAACTCACGGACATCCCGAAAATTCTTCATTACCTGCGCGACGGGCCCTGGGCTGGCGAGCCCGCCGGCGCGCGCGAGGCGCGCGGCGGGCGCGGGAATGGGTCGGTGGCCGCGGGCTCCGGCGCGCAGGGGCTGACTGGCGCGACGAGGAATAGCGCGTGGATGCCTTTGTTGGGGCACTGTCCTGCTGGTGCAGCCACGGGGCGTATGTCTTCCCACGCGCACCCATCCGCCCTGAGTGCGACATTCAGAGGAGGTAGTAGTCGTGTTTATGCTTCGGCTGAACTTTACCACGTTCTTTTGCTCAAAACAACGAATAACGGCAGTGCCATGCATGCGTAGTAGCAGTAATAAAAATATACGTCGTCGTACTACTGGTAGTAGTAGAAGTAGTAGTAGTAGTAGTAGTAGTAGTAGTAGTAGTAGTAGTAGTAGTAGTAGTAGTGGAATTAGTCGTAGTAGTAGTAGTAGTAGTAGTAGTAGTAGTAGTAGTAGCAGTAGTAGAAGTAGTAGTAGTAATAGTGGTAGTAGTAGTAGTAGTAGCAGTGGTGATAAGAATAGAAGAAGAAGTAATAGTAGTAGTGGTAGTAAAAGAAATAGTCGTAGCAGTAGTAGGACTAGTAGTCGTAATAGAAGAAGTTTCAGCAGTTGTAGTCGTAGTAGTAGTAGTAGTAGTAGTCGTAGTAGTAGTAGTAGTAGTAGCAGTAGTAGTAGTAGTAGTAGTAGTAGTAGTGGTAGTAGTAGTAGTAGTAGTGGTAGTAGTGGTAGTAGTAGTAGTAGTAGTAGTAGTAGTAGTAGTAGTAGTAGCAGTAGTACGAGTGGTGGTAGTAAAGGTAATCGCAATGATCGTAATAGTGGCAGTGAAATTAGCGGGAGTAGTAGGAGTAGTACAAGTAGTTGTAGTAGAAGTAGAAATATTAGTAGTAGTAGTAGTAGTAGTAGACTTCGAGGTTGTAGTTGTAACAGCGGTTTTTGTATAGAAATCGAAAAAAAAGAAGTGGAAGTAATGATGGTAGCCGTAATGGTAGCAGTTGTAAAAGTAGTACTAATACTGATGATGGCCGTGACATGTACCCGTAACACTATTGTTTCAAGTTGTTGAAGTTGTGATTGAAAGAATTGCTGCAGTAGTAGAAGTAGCGATGGTAGGACCAGTGGTAGTAGTAGTAGTGGTAGTAGTAGTAGTAGTAGTAGTAGAAGAAGTACTAGTAGTAGTAGTAGTAGTAGTAGTAGTAGTAGCAGTAGTAGTAGTAGTAGTAGTAGTCGTAGTAGTAGTAGTAGTAGTGGCAGTAGTAGCAGTAGTAGTAGTAGTAGTAGTTTTAGTAGTTGTAGTCGTCGTAGTAGTAGAAGAAGAAGAAGAAGTAGAAGTAGAAGTAGTAGTAGTAGTAGTAGTAGTAATAGTGGTAGTAGTGGTAGTAGTAGTAGTAGTGATAGCAGTTGTACAAGGGGTAGAAGTAGCATCAGCAGTAGCAGTTTGACTGATAATCCTTTTTGTCCGAACGATTCCACCAGATTCCTCTGCCCCAGGTTCCTCAGGATTCCGAAGGGTCGGTCCTGCACGATTCTTCAGGAGTCCTGGGGAAGTTCCGATGGAGTACTAATCTGATTAATTACACAGCCATGCACAGACAGACTGAAACCTCCTAAATGATTCCTCAGGAACCCTGGGAAAAAATCCGAAGGAGTACTACTCGGATTACTACCACAACCGTGCACAAACAAACCGAAAAAACGGGAAACCAAATATCCCGAATAACTCCATAGCTTTTGTATGGAACTCGTGAAGATCCCGAAAAGGATGTCTAAGGAGTCCCAGGAGGTCCGCATGACTGCTAAAGATTCCACAAGATTCCTTAGAACTCGTCGGAATGATCCCGAACAGTTGCTACGCAAACAACCAAACACCGATAAAACGATGAACACCAAAAACGATAAACCGGGAAACGCATCGATAAACGGATAAAGCAAGAAACCGATAGAGGCATCCGGAATACAGATTCTCACATGCTGGCGAAGGACGGGTTTAGTGGTTTACTGGCTCGCGCGATTATCAACCGAAATACGGATACAATGATATCGGTTTCTCGGTCGACAAAACCGATATGCCGATAAACCGAAGTAGTTTACCGGTTTACCGGTTTATCGGTTGAGTGGTTTTGTTTTGTTGTCCTGCTGTCGCAGTCTGTACATCTATATATAAACATAGAGATATGCAAGACTGCACTGGCGCTTCGCGCCATGCACCTTGGTCCTTAATGTTTGGCATGTAGCCGTAATGGCAGAACGATGCAGCTGCAACTATAGCGATAACTCCTGGTAGTCTTTTCAACCTGATCGTTATAGTAATGTTATGCGTGATCCTTCCCCCATGCTTCCTCTTCCTCTTCCTCATCCACGCACTACCCTACGCATGCGCCCCCATCCTCCTTAGCACTTTTTGCAGAGGCTGCTCCTTAGAGAGCCTCTCGGGGACTTCACGAAAATATTTAAGGGCTACTTCTGGCCTTCTGGGGGCCTCCTGGGTTTCTTCTGGGGGGCCCCTGGGGGCTTCCTCAGGCCACCCTGCTACCAACCGCGGTCTCCCTGAACGGCTTGGTCACGATTTGGAATGCTTCGGGGTGCGCATTGGGGCCATCTTGGGCCGTCATGGGCCTCTCTGCGGGCCATCTTGGGGTCATGCTGGGCCGTCTTGGGGCTCTCTTGGACTGCGAAGCCCTGTCGGGTGGTTTTGGGGCGATGTTCTGGCCTTGCGCGCGGTCTCGGACGCCCCGCAGACGGAAGAACAGAGCATACTCAAAATCACACATCAATCATTGGAAATCAATACTTCCTTGCGTTGCGAATGCCTCTTAGGCGGCCTTCTGTGGGTCGTCTTCGGTCGTCTGGTGAATGCCTGGGGCCTCGTGGGGCTCTCGCGGGCCGCGTGGGCCTCGTGGGGCCTCGTGGGCCTCGTGGGGCCTGGGGCCTCGTGGGCCTCGTGGGCCTCGTGGGCCTCGTGAATGCCTCGCGCATGCCTGGTGAATGCCTGGGGCCTCGTGGGGCCTCGTGGGGCCTCGTTCGGCAGCCCTCCTGACCGAGCTGGGTCCAGCGCCTGGGCCCGGCAGGGGCTTCCGGGAGCCCCGAAAAGCCCAGGGGACCCTCCTGCAGGGGCGTGCAGGATGCAATGGGGCCACGGGTCTCGGGCGGCCGGCGCCTCTTGTGTGGGGGACGTGCCGCCTCCTGGAATGCAACAAAAAATGCACAAGGGACTCTATGAGAGAGAGAGAGAGAAAAAAAAAAAAAAAAAAAAAAAAAAAGAGAGAGAGAGAGAGAAAGAGAGAGCAAAAGAGAGAGAGAGAGAGGAAAAAAAGGAGCGAGAGAGAGAGAGATAAACAACAGAAAAGAGAAACAGTGAACAAAACAACGAGCGAAGTATTTACATGTGTACATACAGGGAAAGAGAAAGAGAGAGAGAGAGATGTATAGAGAGACCGGGGGAGAGAAAGAGACAGAGAGAGAGAGACATAGAGTTGGATGCGACAGAAAGGCCAAGAATGACGAACCGCAGTGCGCACGCGAACACGCCGGCCATTGACCGGGAAAGCTGATGAACATGCACGCGCTGATCCTAGCCAGCGACAGGAACGAAGGCCAAAGTCGGGGAAGATACGCGCGGGTTCCTACAGCGATCTGCCCATCGTATCTTCCCCGCTGCCGTTGCCGAGACAAAGCTGCCCCTCTTCCTGCACTCCCATTTGGGAGCCGTCTGAAGCCTCCGCCGCAAGCACCTAACTGTGATGGACAGAGCTTGCTGGGACCCGAGGACCGTGAGTTACCACGAGTCCTCCAGTCAGTGCTCCACGGCGCGTATCTTTCAGCACGCGTCGTGAACGCAAAAGGGCAAACGCATGCTGCGCGCGGGCCTCCTTCCCTGACATCCGACGTCGTGAAACCAGCTCCGGCGTCGAGGAGAACATCGACCAGGCTGACCAGATCACTCAAACCAACATCCGCGATTCGCTTTTATGGCCAGATCGATCCGCGAGGGTCCCAGTGCCGGACGCACAGCCCTGTTCCTCTCCCACCACCACCCCCTCCTCCTCATCCTCCTCCGCCTCAACCGCTGTTAGCGGTGCCGGAGCTCCAGATGCATTCGCTGCACTGGGGCAACCTGGCTTAGAAAAGCTGCGCTTTTAAAATTTGGCTCGGCCCCGTGGGAGAACGGGTCGAGCTTGAGAGACTCCCGTGGACGCTTTGCGTCCAGTGCTTGGAGTTAGCACAGGGCTTGGACAGGATGGATCGGAGGGGGATGAAGTTCAAAGGTGTTCCTAGCATGCGCAACTGCTGGGTGCGGTGGTGGAGGGGGGGGAGCTCCATCCTATCCCTGGCACGCGATGCACTCTGTAATTTACTGTATTCATGCAAGTGTGCTCCACACCAAGAAGCTGTATAGCATGGCTGGTTGAAAAAAACATTCGAACCGCTTCGAGACGACAAGGTCGGCTGAAGACACAAGAGCGGCCTGGACCTGCAAGCGGCCAAAGACCCGAGCCAGACTGAGAGAACCCGAAACAGTCCCCCCACCTCCTCCCATCCTCCTCGTCCTCCTCCTCGGCCGTGTGCAGACCTTGGCTTGAACACCCAAACCTCCGACGGCTCAATCATAACGGGTCGCCGGCCCATCGAGCTCTCCGCCCTTTTTCCTGTGGCCGGCTTCTCATCCAGGGTTGTTTTACTGAGGTCGGGGCCAAATTCTTGTTGTTTTATTATTTTCCTGGGAGGCCAGGAACTGGGGGGAAACGCAAGGGGGGGGACTGGCTAAGGGGGGGGAACATCAACTGTGAATCGGCGATAAATCGCCGATAGATCGGCGATAGGCGCCCGATAGCGAAACCACACGGTCCTGGGCGGAGTGGGCTATCTGGCCCCTATCGGAAATCAGTGGGCGATGGCGTGTCGATGCACCCCCCTGAAGCCTATCCCACCTCTGACGTTGCCCAGACGGGACGGTCCTGGACGCGATAACTTATGAAAAACCGCCGGTGCATTTTGTATTCCGAGCCGCCAGAAGTCTCGGAGAACAAACTCACTCGACACAGCCGAGATGCTGACACATGTCAGTTCTGAGCCTTCTGGTTTTGCAGTCAGCCGTGGCGGGCTGGAGCGGAGCCTTGGTTGTCCGTGGTCCTAGCTGGCACCGCGGGTGCCAGAAAGCCAGTATTCGCCCGATGCGAAATCCCACCAGCCCTCTGGGCGTTGGTGTTTTAGGGCGTTTCCTCTTCCACCCCTCCTTCTTCTCCTTCGGGGAGGGGTTTATCACTGCTCCCTATAAGTATACACCCCCTCCCCCAGGCGACTGGGAGCCAACCCAGGTCCAAGAGGGCCCCCCCACACCATCCCTTGTAAAAAAAACAGTACAAAAACACTCTGCCCCCACCATCCCTTGTAAAAACAATAGAGAACATCCAAACTCGGAGCATGCGCAGCCGATGCGGCCTCCCCCCACCATCCCTGGCGGCGGCGGCGGCTGCAGCGGCTGCTGCGGGGGCAGCGGCTGCGGCGGCTGCGGCGGTGGCGGCGGCGGGGGCGGCGGGGGCGGCGGCGGCGGCGGCAGCGGCGGCGGTGGCGGCGGCAGCGGCAGCGGTGGTGGCAGCGACTGCGGCGGCAGCGGCGTGATGAGAGCCACGGCTATGGATCGAGACGTCGCCGGCGACGGCCTGGGCGCCCAGGCAGTCGCGCGGCCACGCGTGCTCCCCCTCCGTACCAGACGCGGATTCACCGACGATCAGTCCTGCTGCCCCATCGGCTGCGCCCTTCCGATCGACCTCGCGTTGCGCGGCCCCGCGGCCCTACTCGATCGCGCCTGCCTGCGGCACAGACCTGGGCTCCCGCTCGACTCGCACGTCACCCCATTGAAGCTCCTCATCGTCCTAAGCCCTTGGGACCCCCCACAACACTGGAAACTAGTTATCTTTTCGGCGACCTTATTGACGGACCGGGTTCCCAGCAGTAGTCGGAACAAACGGATTATCCGCGGCACCCGCCGCACAACAGCGACGACGACGACAAAAGAGGGGATTGTGAACAACGCCTTCGGCGAAGAACGTGTGAACTCCCAAACGTATCCAGCCCGCCCAACAAGAGTGGGGAAACACTCTCCACCGCGACGACGATAACGCTTACGACTACGATTAACGTGACGATTACGATTACTACTACAACCACGACGACGATTACATGTAAAATCGGGACTACAATCACAACGCCGACGATTGCAACCACACCTACAGCACCAATCACGGACTCCGATGGCAAACCTCATGAGAAGATGCTCACAAATCCCCTGGCGCGAATGTAAGCCCCAATGGAATATTCCCTGGGAGAAAACTAAACCAAATAATGACCCATCCTGGTCGACAGTGAGAAGAAAAAACCGTTGCCGCGACGACGACAACGACGACGACTACGATAACGACAACGGGTGCCTCCCCGTCCTTCATCTCTTCGTCTCGCCACTAGTAGTGGTAATACTAGCAATAGTAGTAGCAGTAGAAGTACAGTCGTGGTCGTAGTAGTAATCGTAGTAGTAATAAGAATGTTCGCAATATGCATGGAAATAGTCGTAGTAATAGCAGCAACCGCCGTAGTAGCCGTCTTACGAATATAATAAATAGCCGTCGTGGTTGTAGCAGTAATAGTACTCGTGGACATAATCAAAACATTGTTCGTAGTGGTCGTAGTAGTCGTAGTACTAGTGGTAGCAGTAGTAGTAGTAGTAGTAGTAGTAGTAGTAGTAGTAGTAGTAGTAGTAGTAGTAGTAGTAGTAGTAGTAGTAGTAGTAGTAGTAGTAGTAGTAGTAGTAATAGTAGTAGTAGTAGTAGTAGTAGTAGTAGTAGTGGTAGTAGTGGTAGTAGTAGTAGTAATAGTAGTAGTAGTAGGAGTGGTGGTAGTAGTAGTAGTAGTAGTAGTAGTAGTAGTAGTAGTAGTAGTAACAGCAGTAGTAGTGGTGATAGTAGCCGTACTATGATACCGGAGAAAGACCCCAATCAGGGCTATAGGGCTAGGGGGCTATAGGGCTAACGAGCTATAGGGCTATATAGCTATAGGGCTATAGAGCTGTAGGGCTATAGGGCTATAGGTCTATAAGGCACCCCCCCGCACCCCCAGGCACCCCTGGGCACGCCTGGGCACCCGGGCGCCCCCGGGCACGCCCGGGCACCCGGGCACCCCCGGGCACGCCCGGGCACCCAAGCACCCGGGCACCTGGGCACCCGGGCATCCCCAGGCACCCGGGCACCCGGGAACCCGGGCGTGCATCGGCGGCAAACCTGACCTAACCATATGAATCCGCTAGGACCCCTACAGAGGCAAGCTCTGATTGAGGAATTAGTAATAGTGATAGTGGTAGCCGTAGTAGTAGTAGTAATAATAATAGAAATAGCCGCCGTAACAAGAATAGAAATAGAAATCGTAGTAGCACAAGTAATAAAAATAGTAGTATTCGTACTAGTCGTCTTGCTTCCAGTGATGGTAGCAGTTGTCGTAGTAGCAGTAGTCGTCGAAATGGTAGTAGCCGTCGTGGTAGTACTCGTACGGGTAGTAGACAATAATGTTGTAGTAGTAGCCGTAGTAGTAGTAGTAGTAGTAGTAGTAGTAGTAGTAGTAGTAGTAGTAATAGTAGTAGTAGTAGTAGTAGTAATGACACAAATACTAAGAGAAATATTAATAATAGTAGTAGCCGAAAGACTAGCAGTAGTAATGTTAATGAAAGTGGTAGTCGTAGCGGGAACCATAGTAACCATCGTTGTACTAATGTAATAATAGTAATGGCCGTCGTCTACGTCGTGGTAACCCTCGTATTGAAATAATACTAGTAGTAACAGTAGTAGTAACCGTAGTAGTAGTAGTTGTACTAATTATAATTGAAGTCGTCGTAGTAGTAGTCGTAGTCGTAGAACTAGCAATCGAAATCGTAAAAGTAATAATTCTCGTCGTCGTACGAGTATGAGTGGTAGTCGTAGCACTTGTAGTAGCAGTAGTAGCAGAAGAAGTAGTAGTGGCACGAGTAGTTGTAGTCAATATACTCGTCGTCGTAGTAGAAGTCGTCATGGTAGTGGGTGGTAGTAGAAACAATCGTACTCGTAGTAGTCGTATGAATAACCATAATCCGAGCAGTCCTAGGTATAGTCGTAGATGTAGTAGTAGTAGTAGTAGTAGTAGTAGTAGTAGTAGTAGTAGTAGCAGTCGTAGTCATAGTAGTAGTGGTGGTGGTAGTAGTAGTGGTGTCAGTAGTAACAGTAGCTGTAGTAGTAGCAACAGAAGTGGAACTTGTAGTAGTACTAGTAGTGATAGCAGTAGTAGTAGGAGTAGTAGTAGTAGTAGTCGTAGTAGTAGTAGCAGTGGTAGTAGTAGTGGTCGTACGAGTAACGACAGTAGTAATGGGAGTAATAGTTGGAGTAGTCGAAATAGTAACAATCGTAGCAGTAGTAGTTGTCGTAGTAGTAGTAGTAGTAGTAGTAGTAGTAGTAGTAGTAGTAGTAGTAGTAGTAGTAGTAGTAGTAGTAGTACTACGACTAGTAGTACTAGTAGTAGTAGTAATCGTGGTCGTAGTCGTGGTAGTAGTAGTAGTAGTAGTAGTAGTAGTAGCAGTGGCAGTAGAAGTAGAAGTAGTAGTAGTAGTAGTAGTAGTAGTAGTAGTAATAGTAGTAGTAGTAGTAGTGATCGTAATACGAGTACGAGTAGTAATGATGATAGAAGTCACCGCAGGAATAACAGTAGTAGTGGCCGAAGTGGTACTAATATTAATAGTAGTAGTAGGCCTTGTAATAGTAGGTAGTAGCAGTAGTAGTAGCCGTAGTAGTAGTAGTAGTAGTAGTAGTAGTAGTAGTAGTAGTAGCAGTAGTAGTAGTAGTAGTAGTAGTGGTGGTAATATAGTAGTAGCAGTAGTAATGAAATTGTAGTAGTACTAGTAGCCGCCGTCGTAGTACTAGCCGTGGTAGTGGCACCAGTCGCAGTATACATATATATATATATATATATATATATATATATATACTAGAACCACGCGCGCGCTACGCGCGCGCTTAGGTTCTAGCTTCGTCCTGGGCAACGGCCAAACAACGGACGAGGAGGTTGAAGGCTGAATGCACTTCGGTTATTCGTCGAGTTTCGCGGTCGTGGTTCGAAAAGCTTTTGGGCGCTCCTCGCCCCCAGGCGGCCCGAGGCGGCCGAAAACGACACCTCTTCCTCGTCCTCCTCTTTCCCCCTGCTCTTGCTCCTCTCCTCCTACTCTTCCTCCTCCCCCCATCGCCCCCTCCTTTTCCCCTTCCTCCTCCTCCGCCCCCTCCCTCCCCTCCTCCTCCTTTCCCTCCTCCTCATCCTCCTCTCCTCCTCCTCCGCCTCCTCCTCCTTCTCCTCCTACTTTCCCTCCTCCTCCTCCTCCTCTTCCTCCTCCTCCTCCTCCTCGTCTTCCTCCCCCACACCTCCTCCTCCCTCCTCCTCCTCTCCTCCTCCTCCTCCCTCCTCCTCATCCTCCTCCTCCTCCTTCCTCCTCCCCCCCTCGTCATCATCATCATCATCATCACATCACCATCAC